TAGTCCTAATTTCATTGAAAATCCGATATTTGGTGATCGATTTTGACATATATACAACATCTATTCATTTTTTCTCAACTAAGCTGAAAATCATCTGCCAACTGCTCAATTTGATGATCGATTTTTACAACTGAGATCACATGTATGAATTTTACATGACGTTTCATGTAGTATTTTTGTTAACAAGATTTTTTAGTTGCTCGAGTATTTGTTTCCCACTTTGTTTTGCTAAAAAAATAATTATTTTGCTCAAACATTATTCAGTTACCACAATGGAAAAATCACTTAGTCACTTGAATTCGAAACTGGTGGGTTTTTACAGTTCTTTGGGATTTTTAAAAGATTTAACACTAGACATCAGTTTCAATAATTAACACACTCAGTGTTTGATGTTTTACTTATAAAGGTTTTTTTTGTTGTTCTTTATTAACTTGGGGTTCTAAGCTACAAGAGACTTGACCTCTATAATGATATATGAAAGTGCTTTCGTTTTATTTTTAAAAATATTGTTATTTTTTTGTACTTTATTATCATGGGGTTCATCGAATTCAGACTGCTATGGGAATGCATAGGTTCTGAGAATATTTTTTAGTTCATTCAACTTTTATATCCATTAATTGGCTATTTGATATCAAACTACTCTTGGTTTGGCAGCAGTGCAATTGCAGTCATGTATGTTCAAATGTACATGTATCTAACTAGGCATGTCTATCTATGCATGTGGAAGAATGCACCTTTGTTTTCTAGGAGCATCAACAGTATCTTGTCATACATGTGGCGTGTAATGTATTAATGTGGGCATTATTGTATGTGATATATAGGTGTAGAATGGTAAGATATGTTAAAAAATGGAGAAAGATATCTAAGAACCAAAATTGTCAAGCCTTCACATAGAGCAATAGCATTTGGTGAATTGGCCAACTCAGGCATCTGGTTTTTGATATACTTCCGAAACCAGAACACATCCCAAATATTATTGTGACTCCAAAACCTCATCCTAGTGGCATCTAATGCCTTTCAAAACATCATCCACATCCAAATGCATTACTACTAGCCATTGTTAGTTGGACTTTGTAATTCCATCAATTGAATTAATATCAAATTCTAAAAGGAGAAAGTGTATATAGATCCAAGGCTCTAAACAATCAAATTAGAGTGCGCCTCAAAAATTTCATTAGAAGAGGTTGTTTTGATGCCCAAATATCCTTAAATTGATCATCTCGACATTAAGATGCATGGACATGAGAAAAAATAGATTTCAAGTTCTGGAAATAGTGCATCTTGTAATACAGTTTGGACAGTCAATTCTAAAGATTTTCAAGTTTTCATAGATCTACACTGTTTTTCATGCTTGAACTTTTATAATTAGAGATGAAAATATATTTTCAAGCTATCACAATGATTTACAATATTGCAACCATATTTCTCGATATTATTTGAATGTGCACTTTACTTAGCATCGGCTCTATACAAACCTCACCCATAAAAAAAAATGTTGTATTGCTTGAAAACCTTCACATAACCATTTTAAACTCGAGATGCATCAATATGAAAAAGGGAACAAGAGTTTTTAGTATTGAAAGATGTGCGTCTTGCTTTTGTACCATTTTTAAAACTTTAAATCTCCTAACAGAGAGGATAAAATTTTTAAGGCATCCTACATTAATTGTTTAAAAGTTGGGGAAACTAGAGTTGGGCCATCTAATGGAAGAAAAAATATATCACTTGACAAGTCCCTCCAAACTGGGCCCAAGTATAATCATGTCAGAGGAAACATGGAAGCTAGGGGTGGCAACAGATCTGGGCCCAACTTGGAAGCTAGGAGTGGCAACAGACCCGGGCCCAACTCGGGATACAAGGGTAGACCTAATCTAAGGTAGGGCTTAAAAAATTGGACTCGGTGGGTCAGTTTAAGGTCTAAATTTTGGACCCGAATATTATTCAGGTCCAGATCCAGTCGGGTCTGGGTTCGGGTTTAGTAATATTTTTCGGGTCTCAATATATGAAATATATTTAAATACAGTTTAGTGCATAGGTATTTTAATTTTTGGGACGGGCCGGGTTTGGGTCCATATCATTTTTTTAGATCTGGGTCCAGGTCCGGCCAAACCCTGACCGAGACCAGACCCGACCCGTTGCCATGCCAATTTACGTATATTTTTTATTTACTTACGAAATGTAAATGACAAGAACTTCGTAGAATATGTTAACCCCATGTTTAGAATCCGACACATATTTAGTTTATCAAATAAAATTTTTTAAGGCAAAAGACATAATCTTACAATAATGCGTTGGAGCCTTGTGTGGACGGAATCCCTATATTCCTCGAAATTTAACTTTTCCTAATTTTTCTAAATAAATCGCTCATATATTTCCCCAAGTTTTTGGCATTTGCCTGAGGGAGTTACTATACAGCTTGCACTCGATCGAGCATATATTGTATGTGTTAAAATATATGCTGCTCCTTTAAGAGCATATTGTCCATTTGATCTCAGGTAAAACTCAGACTAAGGGTATTTTTAAGACCTCAAATTTTAGAGACATAACCTCTTGAAACTATAGGCCAATCTCAAAAAAAAAAAGAAATTCAAATTTTTGGAGGGCAAGATTTGAGTCTTGCGGAAGTCTAAGTTCTTTTAAAAAATAATCATCTATGATTCATAGGTGTATCTCAAATTTTCAAATAAAAAAATTTCAAAATGTTTCTTTAGTCCGAGGGACTTAATGTACTGTATGCTGCCACATGAGGATGGTTTGCATGCTTATTTCGCAAAACAACAATATCATACAATACACTGAGCCCATTTAGTTCTCTTAATATCCAATTAAAATTGGAAATGTATACAATGAGACCATTTATTTTTAATACAATGAATTTATAATAATAATTATTTTTAATTCAAGGAGCTTACAATCACTTATGACATTGTATTCGAAACAAATTGGTTGATGATGTGTCAAGACACAAAGTCCAAAATAAAATTTCTCTAATATTGTGATGCATTTTTATCTATTGGATTTCACATCTAATGCCTAAAATTTGATTGTGATCTCATGCCAAAATTAAATGGTCTCATAGTATACAATCCCATTAAATTTTCCTAAAATTAAACATCATTTTGACATCCCCACATCATTTACTCGTGATCCATAAAAATCGAACCCAGTCTCTCTTTTTTATGTATTGACTAGAAATTTTCCATTAATTTCATCGGATATTCACAACCCAAACTATCTCACCCTCATCAAATGTCAAGTGATCAAGACCCATGGACGCTTAAATCCCACCCTCAAAAAGGAAATGTACCTACTAGAAAATAAATACAAATAGTTAGCAACTCTAATTCATATTTGACATAAATAAATAAAAACCCATAATTCTACCCTTCCCTTGGTTTTCATTTGAACAGTGGAAAACCAGCGTCCCTCACTTGGTTCAAACTACAAAACTATCCTCCATATGACTGATTCATCTTAGTCTTCTCGACGAACACACACAAATACACATGCCCACAACCACAACCATTTCATTTCAACTTTAAAACTAATTTGGCATTGGCGCCATTGACAAATACCTGCAGATAATGATCTGAAAAATTCTCTGTGGCCAACATTCGGATAAAATTGTATTCACCTTCAATTATGCAATAAAGCATCATGATTGTTTCCATGTTTATCCACAGCTTTATTGAACTTGTTACTCAACATTGCATCTCCAAAAACTAACTCGAAGATGGCTCGTCTGAATACCATGTTCAAAAATGCCTGTGGAAAGCATGAAAACATCAAATCTTCAATCATCTGAAGTTTCTAGAGAAAGTTCTTTCAGAGGAGAGATATAATTGGTGATATGGGGAGGGTGCATGGAGGTCCTTTTATACATGTTTGAGGGTGAAAATAACCAACCTCATCTGACACGCATGACCCGGTCTTCTCAACCATTCTGCTTCACTTGGCAGTTTTGTAAACTAACATCACAACCATCCCATTTGGAGTGTTTTCTTTTTTCAGTTATGGTGATTAGCACATATTTGAGTGGCTTGTTTACCTTATATTAGACGGAAAGGTTTAAATAAAGGCATCAACCTTACACTGTTCAAGTAAACACTGTTCAAGTAAGGTGCACCTCAAAAACCAATACGAAAAAGTGTTTTGATTTTGGAAAATTCTCAAATTGATTTTATCGACCTTAAAATATATGGATCATGACAAATATATATATATATATATATTTGAAATCATAAAAATAATAAATATTGTAATAATTTATCTGAACCTTCTATTTTGCAAGATTTTCAAGCACCGTATCAAACTAAAGAAAACATAGAGTTATGAGGTATAAAATAACGGATTGTATACTATGGGACCATTTACCTTTAGTTTATGGAGGTCACAATTATTTATAACCATCTGATGTGAAATCTGAAAGCTTAGGTGTGTCACAAAGTTCGCAAAAATTTCTTTTGAACTTTGAGCTTGGTCAATGAAAAAAATGCATCCACCCAATTTCACATCCAATGGTCAAGATTAAGTGTGACCATCTTTTATCAAAGGAAAAATCTCATTATATAAATTGCCTTTGGGGAAAAACAAAGTTAAAAGTGGATACACTATAAAATAGAGCGACTTTGTAGGGTAAAAGATTGTTGAAAAACCATGTATGGTACGCTTGTATGTACACCTTATTTGGGAAATTTACAAAATTAATCCTTACATTAATCAAAACACACCTCTTAAGTGTGAAAGAATGACTTGTATGCTCTTTTAATTTTCTTTTATTTTAAAATTTTTTTTTTTTCTTCTTGACTTAGACCACTTACAAGTAGTCATTTTACAATAAAACAACTTCAAATAAAATAAAATAAAATAAAAGAATAAAACTAGGATCTCAAGAACTTGAAGCCATTCAAAACCTTTCTTTCGATAACAAATAAAAAAGAACCTATGCTTTGGAATGGAGAAGACAATAAGTAAATAAGTAAGAAATAAAAGAGGGTGTCAGATATTACTTCAATTGGCCTTCTTACACCCCTCACCGAGTCACCACCTTCTGATGATGCAAGATCTAATTGTCAACTATCAATCTCAACAAGGAAAGCAAGATTTGGACAAGCCACACCAAGATTTGGACAAGCCACACCAATAGAATGTAAACCTCATTGATCACAAATTCAATAGCTAGGTGAACCCCCTTGATAACCTAGCTTGACAGAGATACTTCTCTTTCTACCTCACCCCTATAGACTTAACCCCAATGTAATATGAGAGATGATGAGAGACACGAGAGACACCATGAGAGAGAGAGAGAGTGGGGTGCGCCCCCTTTTAGGGTTTCTTTGAGAGGAGAGAGAATTTCCAAGATGAGAGAGAGAGAAAAAGACTTTCTAGATGGGGCAAGCCCCCTTCTTTGGTCATGAGAGAGAGAAAACTCAAGAGATGGGACGTACCCCTTCTTTTTTTGTGGGAGACAGAAGAGAGAGATTTTAGGTGTAAGCAATATGGTGTAGAGATTTTGGGTAGGGTACTCCCATTTTTATAGTGTTTGAATAGAATTAAGGTTTTTTACAGTTTTCCATGGCTTGCCACTCATGTGAGATTGAATATGCACAATTGATCCTGGGTGACTTGAGGAATGAGAGATATGAGCTCTCAATTCCATATATGGACTATCAACATTCCATAAAAGGTGTTAGAACCATTATTCTTCACTTCCTAAATAATTTTTTTATCAATTAATTCAAATAAGAAACTAATATATGATAATATTATCATTTCTTCTTTTATGCATCAGTCTTCTCATACATACAAAAATTTCATTCAAAATTTTCTCAAAGATTTAAGCTTTTTTAAAACAACACAAGTTTATCTCTCAAACTTTAGAGCTTGATCAAATAAAATAGAAGGTTACCTAGGTGGGGCGTGCCACCTATTGTGGCACATAATCGGCCCCACCTATTTTGCTATGGTGGGCCCAAAAGTCCTATTGGGCCTCCCATACAATTATATTATTTTTTTATATTTTTTAAAAAATATAAAATTTTTATTTGAATATTTAAATCAATATATCTGTTTATATAAATCTAAATTTGATAAATAAAATATATAGAGACTTAGAAATTTCAAATAACAATTCTAAAAAAACAATTATATATTATTAAAATAAACAAAATTAAATACTTTGATAGAAAAATGATCTATATGGTTTAGGAATCAATATGCACTAGGACACTCCATCTCCAACTACGGACTTCGGATAACACATGCTTGCTCAAACCAACCCAGCATTGCCCATGACCTACAGTTCGTATAGGAGATCATTAGTGGGTCACCTAAGGTTTATCTAATGGACAAGAGATCGCAGTCCCAGCATATGGATTTCATGAACCCTGGAGACGAAACCAAGGTCATCCTGACCTGATGCAATCTATTACTCAATCGTGCACAGGGGGTATCTCTCGCACATGCACACACTTCATCTTGAAAGATGGTTCACTTTCTTGAAAATGGCTATCAATGTGCATACTGTGATGATACAAATGACGAGGCTTTGGCTCCGTCTCTAAAGGCTTCCATCACATACAAGGGTCACACAATCCATCGGCTCACTCTTTCGGGCATACTCCGACCTCATCAAAGGATAACATATCTAAACCTCATCGGTTTGTTTTTCTATGTCCATGTAACATGGGTTTTTCCCAACTAGACTGACCTAGCACGTTAAATACAGTCCAGTATCAACAAACATCGTTTACTTAGTATGATCCACATGGGACCACACTCTCATTGAGTTCATGTTCTACTATATAATTTCATTTTACAAGCATTTAGAAGGCCTTTAATGACCACACAGAGCCAACAAAGTGAAATGTTAGATGGTTCAACTTTAAAGTGTGTTTTGATAAATTTCATTTTAATATAGGGCGTACACAAGTCGCGTTGAACCTCACTAAGACTCAACCCAATAGTTACATGGGGGGCAGGCTGAGAACTAGAATCAA